GGACGCCTGGGCCCTTCCCCGCAGCTGGAGGAGTGCGGCGCCGGCCCCAAGATCCCGCAGGCGCTGGAGAAGATCCTGCAGCTCAAGGAGATCCGCCAGGAGGAGCTGGTCACCGTGCCCGGCCTCTCGGGTGAGCAGCACCCTTGGGTGCCCCCGCCCGCACGCCCGGCCCCGCTCGCCCGGGCCCTGCTCGCCCGGACGCCTGGGCCCTTCCCACCCGGACACCTGGGTGCTCCCCGCCCGGACACCTGGGCCCTTCTCGCCCGGACACTGGGGCCCTTCCCGCCCGGATACCTGGGCCTTCCCGCCGCCCCCCCCAACCTGGACGCCTGGGTCCTCCTCACCCGGACGCCTGGGCCCTTCCCGCCCCCGCCAACCCGGACGCCTGGGTCCTCCCTGCCCGGACACCTGGGCCCTTCCCGCCCGGACACCTGGGTCCTCCTCACCCGGACGCCGGGGCCCTTCCCGCCCGGACTCCTGGGCCCTTCCCACCTGGACACTTGGGTCCTTCCCACCCGGACACCCGGGTGCTCCCCACCCGGACGCCGGGGCCCTTCCCTGACCCGGACGCCTGGGCCCCGCCGCTCACCCCCCCTGCAGCCGAGGACGAGATGGAGCTGGAGCTGCGGGCGCCCGCCGGCGTGTCGGCCTCCGAAGCGGAGGACGACGGCGGCCTCTCCAAGAAAGAGGTGCAGGGCGGGAGGGCACCCAAGGGTGCTGCTGGGTAGGGGGGTGCGCCGGCCTCACCCCCCCCGCCCCCCCAGCGCACCCGCAAGCGCCGCAACCGCAAGAAGAAGAAGCGGGGCCCGCGGGCGGCGCCCGGCGCCCCCCGGGAGGCCGCGGGCGCCGAGGCCGAGGCCGAGGCCGTGGAGGTCGAGTACGTGGCCGAGGAGCCCGACGCCTACGAGCCCCAGTTCGTCTTCTTCAAGAAGATCTTCGAGGCCTTCAGGGTGCGCGCCGGGCGGGGGGGGGGCACCCATGGGTGTCTCCAGTGCCGTGGGTGGCGCTGGAGGTCACTGGGTGCCATTATGGGTGGCTCCGGCCCCAGGGATGTCGCCAGCCCCGTGGGTGTCTCCAGTCCCATGGGTGATCCTGGAGGACCCTGGGTGCCCTTATGGGTGTCCCCGGCCCCATGGGTGGCCCTGGAGGTCCCATGGTGGTCGCAGCCCCATGGGTGATCCTGCAGGTCCCAGGGTGGCCCCATGGGTGGCCCCGGCCCCATGGGTGATCCTGGAGGTCCATGGGTGCCCCCATGGGTGTCTCCAGTCCCATGGGT